GAGGAGGAGGAGGAGGAGGAGGAGGAGGAGGAGGAGGAGGAGGAGGAGGAGAAGAAGAAGAAGAAGAAGAAGAAGAAGAAGAAGAAGAAGAAGAAGAAGAAGAAGAAGAAGAAGAAGAAGAAGATTCTTCATTCAGGATAAAATCAGAGACATTAGTGGTACAGATCTGCAGAAAGCGCTTGCCCAGGAGATTATGAAGGGTGTAATGTAACAATATTTCTGCACAATTCTTTCAGGTTGCACGTGGACGTTTTGTTCTGAAAAAGGTACATCTTCCTTTTCCTTTCACAGTGAAGTTTCTCTGACTAGTATGAAAGCCCATGGAGCTACCGTTTGTCATGTGCAGAGCTCTGTCTTTAGAGAATGTTGATAAGTGTCTGATAACAAAAGTACTGAAATGTGCAAGTGTCACATACCCCAAATCCTGCACTCAAAACCCTCCTGGGGGTAGTTGTAGCAACACATGTCAGCAAACTCATCACCTTGAGTCAAGATGATCAGGAGTTTCATTCAGCCTGGACTACATAGAAGTTTGAGCTAGTGTGAACTACACTACATAGCAAGACCTTGTTCAACAATACAAAATAAACGAGTGATCAAATTTCCATCTTAATTATTTCATATCAACTAGATATATTTCCTACTTAAATCCCCGGAAAATTATGGTGGGGAAAACCCCAGGAAGGTAAAGCTATACATGCAAAAAAAAAAAAAAAAAAAAAATTCTTATGTTAATAAAGGGAATGGTTGTAGTAACAAAAAAGATTTTATCTTTGGAGGAAACAGAGTTGGAGAGCTCAGGGTCTTAGTGCCTCACAGCTTAGAGCAGAATTTCTTGCCCAAACCTAAGATTCAGCAAGAGTGTGTTAACCTCTAAACAGTTTGTGTGTGTGAAAACATGCATACAATATGTATTATTACTTTGTTCAACTCTCTCTTTTGAGACAGTATCTGTGTGTGTGTGTGTTTAGTGTGTGTGTGTGTTTAGTGTGTGTGTGTGTGTGTGTGTGTGTGTGTGTGTGTGTGTGTGGTGCATGTCTTGATGTGTGGGTCTGAGCCAGAGCAAACCAGCAGGGGTCTGTTCTTTATTTCTACTCCATCCTAGGGGTCAGACTGAGTTCAGGCTTGATGGCCAGGGCCTTTGTCAGCTGACCTAGATCATGAGCACACTGATTTCTTAAATATAATTCAAAAACTGCATTAGTTCATTTATAGACACATTCTTTACCTTTGATTTCTGAAACAGATTTCTTGGGATGGGTTTGCTAGGGTCTGCATGATAAAAGTTATCGGTCAGTGGAATAGAAATTCCCATATTAGATGGAGGCCTGTAGTTTACCTGCAGATGATTAGGTAAAGAAAGGGGGCCACGGGTTATTATTCACCACAGCATAAACATTTTGGCTTTTTCAGAAAACTGTTTAATGCAAACAATTCACTTCTAGCTCCAGGCATTACAATGAATTTCTCCTCTTCAGTACTTCCACCCCTCAGGTTCTGTAACTTCAAAGACCTTACCCTGTGATGATGTCATTTGGACTTTGTAAAGAGGTGAAAATGACTTTTAGTTCTTAAAGTAGCTGCCATGAAGTTACTTCAGGGCATGTCCAAAGCATTTTAGAGAAGAGGCTCAGTGATGCAGTTAAAACACAACCTCAAGTTTGATTATTTGTTTTCTGTCACAAAACTAGAAGTAGTACTTCAGCTAATTTTTGTCAGGAGCCATTGATCTGGTAGCTGCTTTGATATTTAAATCTCAGCAGAAAGACTGCTTTTACCAGGCCTTCACTGAAGTCAGGGAAGAATTTGCAAGTCCATCTCTCCTATTGTTTGTGACAGCAGGTGGGATAGCTTGTGAAGATCAAACCTCTTGCTTCACCTCCTTGCAAATTTAACCCATTGTTCTGAGCTGTTTTTACCTAACCCATTGTTCTGAGCTGTTTTTACCTTGGCTTAAAAGCTCTCTGCAATAAAGTCAGGCTGCTGGCTGGTGGAATCTAGAGCCTCTTAAAAAAGTCTCCTGTGTGTTGTGTGTTAGTTTATTAATTTTAATCCTCACTCCCGACTCAAGAACCGTTTGACCCTGCTGGCAGGCTCCGGCAAATTTTTAGCTTTGAAATGGTCGCAAGAATCCCCAAATAAGACAAGACACAACAAAATAAGTGGCCGAGCAGATGGCTCAGCTGGTAGTGTCTGCCACTCAAGGGGAAACTCAATTGTGCCAGCACTAACCCCTAACCCCAATACAGAGGGCAGAGAAGGCCTATCTGGAGAGCTTGTCTGCAGATCTAGGTAAAATGGTGACCTCTAGGCTCAACGAGAGATCTTCCTCAGAAATAAGGCATATTTAGGAAGACATCTGAGGTTAACTGTTGGCCTCCACATAAGACCACATGGTCAAGCTTTCCTGCACACACATACCTGCACACACACTTGCAAGTGAAAGAATCAGACTAATTTTGTAACCTATGTTTTTTTTAATTGCCTTATAACTTATATTTTCAAGTTTTAGGCCCATGTCAATTAAAGCCTCTCAGTGCTTCTCCAGAGAGCCAAGGAATGTAAAAGTTCCTGACATTAGCCATCTGTGAGGGCAGAGATAAGGAAGAGAACAAGCAGAGATCTCTACTAGGTGGAGAGAAAATCACCAGCTGGTGCCTGTGAGATAAACTTTGTTTGGAAACTGGGCTAAATGGCCCCAATCCTTCTCCTGAATAGCTCCTGACCTTTGATCCAAAGCCTGAAACCCAAAGCCAGAACAGACACGGGATGAGTTAATCATTCTCCCACCTTTAACTGTGGCTATATCTCATATGGCAGGAAATTCCAAACTGACTTGAAGATCAGATATTTACGACAGAGCTGACCAGACCTAAGGTTGCCCAGAACCAACCAATTATTTCAAAAGTTAAATACCTCATCCAATCCTGACTGGCCAATATTGCAACCCCTGGAATTTCCCGTGCTTTGTCTTTTAAAAATCTAAGGCCTTTGTCTCCCAGTGCCACTCCTTGCTGACCAGCAGGGGTGGCCCTATTGCACAATGGTCAAAATAAACCTCTTGCGATTTTGCATCGATGATTAGTTTCCTGGGTTCTCTTCATAACTTTTTTAAATTAGGCTCATGCTGTGCCTAACACAAGCATGCATGATGGCCATTCCCATACACACAAGAACAAAATTAGAGGACTCACAGATACTAACAAAACAAAAGCAAAAGTTATTATACTGAAATGCGGTTGTTCACAGGAGAACTGGAAGGTCAAGTTCAATATTTTGAGACTTTACTGAAGGGGAAAAAACCTAAACCCAAAGAGAAATAGAATCGTTTAGATATATAAGCTTGAGACAAAATCATTGTAAGTCAATATGGTTGCATGTATCACAAAATCCCAAGATTATACCATCATTATACTAATAACATTAATGATGATGAGGGAAGTTAGTGACAAAAATATTCATTTCAGGAAGTAATAATGGGTTTGAAATGAATCATCACCATCACATTCTTAAAATGACCCACAGTTCGAAAAATGATGAAACTGCTAGAGGTCCTCAGAGCGGAACTGCTAACACGGAATGGCCATGGAAGGCCGCAGGAGAAGCACATCACTTGCCCTCTTAAAGGGGCAGAGCTAGAATCTTACCGGCAGAGTTTTGATCATGTTGAAGCCCAGACTGTCCTCGTGAACTCCGCTGGTCCAGTCTTCAGGTGGTATGTAAGTGTCGGGAACGTGGTGCATAGTCCTGAGGTAACTGCAGCTGCTCTTCATGGTTGTCACCAGCGTCGTGACAAGGCAATCGGTTGATGCGTCCCACAGAACCAGCGCCAGCGACGTGGAGCCCTGGGTACAGCCCAAAGCGGAAGGTTAGAATCCCAGAGACATCCAAAACACTCTGTTGTTAATGATCCAGAAAATCATCTATGATAACTGTGTTCGGGGTTTTTCGTTTGGTTGTTTGTTTGGTTTGTTTTTGTTTGCTTTTTTGTTTTGTTCCTTTGTTTGTTGGTTGTTTGTTTGGTTGATTTTCAGTTTTTTGTTTTTCAAGACCCAGTTTCTCTGTGTAGCCTTGTCCTGGACTTGCTTTGTAGACCAGGCTGGCCTCAAACTCACAGAGATCTCCTGCCTCTGCCTCCCTGAGTGTTTTGGGTTTTGAGTGAATGAGTTTATTAAGAATATAGCAAGCTGGCCAAAGAAAAAGTATAAAAAACATGAAGTTAGAGAGACAGAGAACAATCTCAAATCATTTATTCAAAACAGTTGACACATTTTGACTGAGATAGTCTCACTTTTTCCTTATATTTATGTGCGTGCGTGCGTGCGTGCGTGCGTGCGTGTGTGTGTGTGTGTGTGTGTGTGTGTAGGTCAGAGGACAACCTGCCTGTGTTGGTTCCTTTCTGCTACCATGACTTTCCAAGTGCTGAGATTATAAATGTGCAGTAACATACCTGGCATATGTCCTGCTTGGATGTAACCCTGGGCTTCATGCATTCCAGACAAGTGCTTCCCCAACTGAGCCACAGTGGTTTAGTCTTGAAGTTTGTTACTATTGTTTCTAATATTAGTATTTTAACGATGTTTTGAGAAAGACACGTATTTTCAGCTCCTATCTCTTAAATTTGAATGTTCATATAATCTTCTCTTTTGGAGAAGTTTTTTTTTTTTTAATAATTCCATTAAAAAATTTTACTATGCCCTTTATTTTTATCTCAGTTCTTTTTCCTTCCCTGCGGATACTTGAACTTGGTCTCATGACCAAGCTCTCCAGTCACAGAGTCCTTGAAAATATTTTGCATATGAAACTGTTTTTGTTTGTTTGTTTGTATGCTCCCTGCTGATGTTAGTTCCCAGAGATTGAAGACAATCTCTGATGTTCTTTCTTCTGCTTTGTCAAGTCTACTGGTAATGCTTTCTGCTGAGTTTTTATTTGCTCTATCTAAAATTTTTATCTGCAACATTCCTGCCTGTTTTTTATTTTCAAGATCTCAAATTTCTTGTTTAGTCTTGACTCCAACTTTCTTTTTGAGTGCCAGAAATAACTTCTTTATTTTATTCACCTGCTTCATCTGCTTATTTGAATCCTTCTTCAGGTTATGGTCATTTTTTTTTTTTTTTTACTTATTTTAAAAATTTATTTATTTATTCACTTTATTTTCTGATTTCAGTCATTCCTCCTCTCCTACCAGTCCTGCTGCTCACAGACTCCCTTTCCCCCATTCTTCCCTCTCCTTCTCTTTAGATGAGGGGGAGGTCCCACATGGGTACCAAGCCACTCTGGCACATTAGTCGCTTCAGAACTAGGCACATTCTTTTCCACTGAAGCCAGAAAAGGCAGCCTATTTAGGGGAATGAAATCCAAAGGTAGGCATCAGAGTCAGAGAGGGCCCATGATCCTGTTGTTGGGGGATCCACATGAAGGTCAAGCTGTACATCAGTTATATAGGTACAAGGGGCCTAGAAAAAGTCCATGCATGTTCTTTGGCTGGTTGTTCAGTCTCTGTGAGCCCCCATGGGCCCAGGTTAGTTGACTCTGTAGGTCTTCTTGTGGAATCCTTGACCCCTCCAGCTCCCTCAATTGTTCCCCCAATCCATAGGACTCCATCAGCTCTGTCTAATGTTTTGCTGTGGGTCTCAGCATCTGTTTCCATCTGCTTCTGGGTGAAGCCTCTCAGAGGAGTTATGCTAGGCTCCTGTCTTCAAGCATAGCAGAGTAACTTTAATAGTGTCAGAGATTGGTTCTGTCCCGTGGGGTGGGTCTCAAGTAGGGCCAGTGCTGAGAACAATTGCATTCTGGATGGGCAAAAGCAAGCAAGTGAGCTTCCTGGAGGCAGCCCACTCATTTTTGCATGGCTGACGAATGGGTATATCCCTGGCTTAGGCAAGGCCCCAAGGATTTTGCCTCAAGACTGCTTATTATTTCAATATTGCCTTTCTATACTTGTCTCATATATCTGGAATGACAGAGATTTTCATTTCTCATTGCTTCACTATGTTGGACAGGTTTTGTGTACGTTATTTTGAAGACATACATTCATGACAGTGGTGTTTAAATTTATGATTTCATAACCACTGATGATATTTTAAAGAATTTCTGACTTGATTTAAGTAATGTTAAAATCCTTCTGCAGTATTGCAAAAACAGCTAGGAGCTCTGCTATCCTCCATATGTCAAGCACTTGATTTATACCAAAAGGGTAAACAAGATTGAAACAAATTAATAATCAAGGAGATACATTCATTCTAGGTTTAGTCCAAGGATATGGCCCAGGTGTACACCATAATAAGAAAGACCATAGGAATATAGAAACAAAGAATAAATGATTAGCTGTACAAGACAGACACCTGTTTCTTAGAAAAACTTTGTCATAAAAAACTTGCTTTGAACACATAATATATGTTTGAAATCAGAAAAAGATATAACGTCTGCTCTGAACTCATAATGAGCATATAGATAAAACTACTGCTTTAAACTTCTAATAAACAAAGTATCTAGTTAAATATTAGGATCAGTAGTCCTATTGTAACTCCCTTTTTATCTATTTTTGAATGAGGTAATTTTTTTTTCCATATGTAGCGTACCTTTTGTATTTGATTGTATAAAAACCCAAGACAGAATCAAACAGTTGTTGAGATTTCATCATAAAAACCCGCTTCATCCAAAAATGTGTCTGTCTATCTATTTGTAGGTCTAATTTTCTATATGTATTGTCTGTATGTATGTCTATGTGTATATGTTTATATTTATATCTGTATGTTTACATATATGCGGATGAGTGGTGTCTTTGGGAGCTCCCCTGTTTTCTCTATTGATTGTGTGCACGTGTGTGTGAGGTTTGTAAATCTCTGCCTGCTTGGTCTGCCTAATATGTACATTTTTGCATGCTTCTAAGTTCAGTAAGTTCAATAAGTGATAAGCAGTCTGGAGTGTTTTATTAGCCTTCTTAATTAGGACTCTAGCTTCCAGGAAGCTGCTGTTCACTGCTAAGCCATTAAATTAAAGGGAACTAAGGTTTTTCTGTTTCTAATCCCCGGTATTTACAGCAGGAAAGAGTCAGGGCTGCAGCTTCTTGGACTTGTGTGTTACGAGAGCCACCTGGTTTGACTGATGAAGACCTGCTGTTAAACAATAAACGTTTTTAGACAGTGAGCTGCTTTGGAGGCAGAGCTACCGGAAGGCCTGGATAGCTCAATTGATAAAGTTTCAGACCCTGAATCTGAAAGCTCAGGGTTCAATTCCCTGCTACCTCACTTTTCCTTTAGAGGTTCTCGTGACCAGTGGCCCCTGGGAGTTAAGCTGTATATGGAGTTAAATTGTACATCTAGAGTTAAACTGTAGATATAGAGAGCCCCAAATAGCACGGCTATCATGCTGAAAGACTAAGAGTTAGAGAGAGACACCAGCCACCACATGGTCATCATGGTCATCGCTGTTGCTGTGCCCGCATTGGTTTTCCCTGTGTGCTGGCGCTGGTCTCTAGCATGCCAGTCTTGGTTGGTCATTCCCTCAGTCATTTCATCTTTGTCCCTACAGATCTTGTGGGCAGGTCAAGTTTTGGGTCCAGGGTTTTGCGGGTGGGTTGGTGCCCTTATCCTTCCACTGGCAATCCTGCCTTGCCACAGGCTCCATAAACCCTGCCACTGGGAGTCTCAGGGACCCCATTCGACTTCCTTGGACCACCCCATCCTAGGATTCTGGAAAATTCCAGAGATGGCCACCACATCCGACTTTTGTTCTCTCTCCGTGTCTCCTCTCCCCCAATCTCCCTTCTCCTAATCTCCATTGTTGTCCATTCCCCATCCCCTCTCCTTTATAGTTCCCTCCCTCCATTCACCTCCATTTCTGACTGAGATTCAAGCATCCTCCTTTGTGCCCTCCTTTTAACTTACCTTCTTTGGGTCTGTGGATTATAGTGTGGTCATGCTGTATTTTATGGCTAATATCCACATATAAATGAGTACATATCATGCATGGTTTTTGGGTTTCGGTTACCTCACTCAGGATGCTTTTTTCTAGTTCCATCCATTTTCCAGCAAATATCAAGATGTCCTTGTTTTTAATAGCTGAGTCGTTTTCCATTGTGCAAACGTACTACAGTTTCGGTTTCTTTATTTATTCTAATATTGAGGGACATCTGGATTGTCTCTAGTTTCAGGCTATTATGAATAAAGCTGCTATGGACATAGCTCAGTAAGTGTCCTTGATGTAAGGTGGGCCATCTTTTGGGTATATGCTCAGGAGTGGTATAGCTGGGTTTTGAAGTAGAACTATTCCCAATTTTCTTAGAAAATGCAGATTGGTTTCCAAAGTAGTTGTACACATTGGCACTCCCACTAGCAATGAAGAAGTGTTCCACTTTCTCCACAATCTGGCCAGCATGTGCTGTCACTTGATTTTTTTGGTCATAGCCATGCTGACTGGTGTAAGATGAAATCTCGGGGTTGTTTTGATTTGCATTCCCCTGATAACTAAAGGATGGTGAATATTATGTTTTTCTCTACCACTTGGAATTCCTCTGTTCAGAATTCTCTGTTTTGCTCTGTACCTCATCTTTAAAAATTTATTTTTTATTAATTAGTTTGTTCACTTTGTATCCTGACTGTAGCCCCCTTCCTTGTCCCCTCCCTATCCCACCCTCCCTGTGTCTTCTCCATCCAGTCCCTCAGTCCATTGATAGGGGTGGTCCTCCTTCCCTTCCATCTGATTCTAGTTTATCAGGTCTCATCAGGAGTGGCTGCATTGTCTTCCCCTGTGGCCTGGTAAGGCTGCTCCCCTCTCAGGGAAGGTAATCAAAGAGCCAGCCACTGAGTTCATGTCAGAGACAGTCCCTGTTCCATTACTAGGG